GGCAGTATGGAACACGATGGTAAACACAGTGAAACCTCTGATCTCAGTTTCTTCTGTGACATGCAAAGTACAAGAGGCATACATGCTACTGTAGTCTACCCAAGAGAGGAAGAGGGACACCAGAGGAAAGGTGAGTGAATGCAGCCAGGAATAGCCCACCATAAGCACAGCATCTTTGTACCTCATCTTGCTACTGTAACTCAGGGGGAAAACCACAGCAATCCATTTGTCTATACTGAGTGCAGCCATGCTTAGCATGGCATTGCAAGTTAGAAAAGTTTCCAGAAAACCCACAGCTTTGCAAATGCAGTCCCCAAAAGGCTGCTGGGCTTTCAAGACAGCCAGGAAAGTGGAGGGCATGTTGAAGGCAGTCAGGAGGAGGTTACACAGAGAGAGGTTTAATAAGAATATCCCAGACACCTGCTTCCTGATCTCTGCACTGTACAGGAAACATATCACCACCAAGAGATTGGCCAGTAAGGACACAACAAACACCACAATCAGAAGGATGGCCAGCAGAACCTCTGCTAAGTGCATTTCTCAGCATATATCCATGAGCCTGCCGTTCAAAGCAGTGTGTGTCAATTGAAATGTGCATTTAGAGCATAGAAGGCTTCCTACATGCTTGCTTGGAATTGCTGCAGAACTCCTGCTGCATGAAACAGGTTTCCCTTGCTCCTAGACCTTCAAGGAGTCCGCTGTCCAGGGTGCTGAAGCTGAGCTCACAGCAGCCCATGTGGAGGAGGTAGCTAGCCTGCACAGCTGCATGTAGTAAGCAGGGGCTGCTATGCTGCTGAACAATGCTCGGAGAGGTATTGTCAAGGAGCCAGCACAGCTTTTCTAATGTGAATCTCCTCGTGACACACCTTCTATACAGCTTGCACAGTATCAACTCATGCGCAGGAACTGCTACAAAGAATTATTTCTGCTTCAGGCTGGAGCTTGGGGTGAATTATTTACTGGTTCTATTAGATAAACAAACATCAGGACTTTGTGTTAGTATAGTAAAATATAAGAATTTGCAGGTATGCACAACAGGTTTGGGGAAATAAGCAAATACATCGCTCAGGTGAAAGCTACCCAGATAGAGATTTACAAGGCAGAACAGGTGCTATTCTTAAAGAAAAGTCCTAAAGGCTAAAAAGTGTTCTTTGGTTTCCATAGTAACAACATCTTATTTAGTACTTTGCCTCTGTGTTTGCACTGATAAAACTCCTTTAGGTAGGGAGCAATGTGCAGCAAGTTTATGTAATTATTGCCTATGCTCAGTTTTGAAAGGGTTAACTTTTAATTAAAAACGCTCTCTCTCATGTTCATTGCTTACTCACTTTTTAAAATGATTCTGGAACTCTACGAATTAAGTTGGGATAAATAATTTGTAACACTACTTTCTATCCATGTGAGAGTAGCACAAATGTACTGTTTTTGCAAAACATTTGCAGTTAAGTTTTCACAGGAACATTCTTGGTACTTGTTTTATAAAGTAGGTCACATCATGTTATAATGGAATGGATAGTGACTCATGAACAGGGCATGGGAGAATTACAAAATTGCAGGCAGCTGGGATACCCATTTTCACAGATTATATACTAAGCCAATACTACTTCTAAAACTCCTAAAAATGTCCCCTCACACACACTACACTCCTCACACACACTACACCCCTTGCACACACACTGACTGCTCCCCCTCACACACACACACACAGACTGCCCCCTCACATGCACTCCACCTCTCACACACATACTGCCCCTTCACACATGCACAGCACCCTTCACACATGTACAGCACCCATCACACACACACACTGTACTCCTGACACACAGCACCCTTCACTCACACACACACAGCATCCTTCACACACATTGCACCCTTCACACACTACAGCCTTCACACACACACTGTACTTCTCACATACAGCAACCCTCACACACACACACACACACACACACACACACACACACCATCCCTCACACACCCATTGCACCCTTCACACACACACACATTGCACCCTTCACACACACACATTGCACCCTTCACACACACACACATTGCACCCTTTACACACACTGCCCTCCTCACATGCTACACCTCTCTCTTTCACACACACACACACTACACCCATCACACACAGACACACACAGAACCCTTCATACACACAGCACATCACACACAAAAGTAGAATAGAAAATAGAAAAAAAAATTAAGTACATATATAAAAACAAATCCTCTCCTTCCTTAAAAATAAATAAATTGCGCTATAAAATTAGCTACTGCGGCACTGGTGGGTGGTGAGGTAATTTTACCATCAAGAAAGATACAAAAGTGGGCGGTAGGTATTAAAAAGTTGACTACCCCTATTTAACTATCATTGTTAATTGGGCAGACATGCAAAAAGTTACACACACACGTTCACCTCACCTGTCTCAGTGGTTTTAATGTTGTGGCTGACAAGTGTAATGCATAACAGTGTATACATGTCCCAGTGCTAACATACAAAATTAGGTCATGCGCTTGAATGGGTGGCAGCAATGACTGTGGTACACATCAGCCTCGAATACATACAATAAAAGCCAAAGAAAAGAGTTACTTGCGCACTATCCCAAATCACTAAACACATTTAAATAGCATCACACGGATGGCCATTAATGTATAAGTTCACCTGCCACTTCAGGCCACTTAACTCTTTGGTAAATCCTACACTAACAATTTACCTTGCTGCTTTAGCTAAAAGACACATCTCTACTGAGACAGAGAGGCCTGCCTGCCTAAAATTAGTGTGATTTGCAGCCTCAGGCTGCAGTTACTTCAGTTGCCATCATTAATATTACTGTTGGGAGTGTAACTCCCACTCTGCTTGGGTAGACCAAGACATGTATAACAGGGTTATGCAAGAGATTAGGGCCCCCAGAAGATGTCATCTGTGTATTATAACCTGTTTATTACAGGCAATCCATGCAGTACGGAAGTCTAAAATATGATTTACTGTTAAAATCATAAGCAAATCATGTAATATATGTATGTCTGGAGTAAGGGATCAAGATTTAATATTTTGAGGTGTAAAAAGTGATGAAAATCAACATAAATGCTTCTATATAATGTTATAGAGCAGGGATAGGCAACCTTCGGCACCCCCAGATGGCGTGGACTACATCCCCCATAATGCTCTTACACCCATAATGCTGGCAAAGCATCAGGGGAGGTGTAGTCCAAAACATCTGGAGTACCGAAGGTTGCCTATGCCTGTTATAGAGGAAAGAAGAGTTATAGCAAGCTGTATAATCTCATTGCCTTCCCACACTCCTTCTTCTGTGTTCGATCATTACTTCCCTCCTTGGACAAGCTCTCCATATCTTCTCTCTACTTCCCTGCTATTTTTCGTTTTTCCTTGGATTCAGTTAATGATTTTCCATCCCAATGAAAAGATTATATTTTACAGTGTTTATCACATATATTTGTCTTTTGTACACTTGTAATAGGTAGTAAAAATGCAGTAAGCAAATAAATACATAAATAAATAAGTACAAACAAGATACATTAGTTAATGGAATCAGAATATCGAACAGAGGTCTTACCCATTCATAAAGATGTGTTACCACGTAAGAAGAACTCGCTTTTAAGCCACCTATCAGGGCAATAGAAACCAAGAGTTATCATGAATTAGGTTCCACAATACAAACTTAAATGAGACTAGACAGAAAATATTGAGCTCATTGGCTCGGGTAGGTAGGAATCTGACAGGTCAGTTGAGCCAGCGAAAGGCATTTCATATACAAGAAAAGATATAGTGTTCTAAATAATAAACAACAGTGCATGGGGGAGAATGGCATGTAATCTACAGCAAAAATATGAAATAAAAGAGCTACATACATCACATATTAGTGGTGACTTTCATATATTATGCAGTATTACTGTATCATGAACACCTGGAGAACTGATACTTCACAGAAGTTAAGTATGGTGTTGGTAAGTTTCCCTGCTAACCAAAGAAGACTATTGATCTATGCAGAGAAAATGACAGCTGAGGAACCAAATAGAGTTCAAATGGACAGTATAGGTTGATGTATCATGACACCTGGGCAGCAGAATTTTACATTAAGTCTCCTCTTTTCCTTACTCTATGAATCTTCACACAAATATGTTTTAAATTTTTATGTTCATTCTTTAATGACATTTGATTTCAGAAAATGACAGAATCACTGAATACTTTTTTTTTTTAAATTCTTTATTTTTGTGTGCATAGGAGTAACAAAGATTCTTGCAATGCCCCAATAGCGGTGGCAAGATATTTAACTGTACATTGCATAACAGGTACCAGGCATTTGAACGTTCTGCACTTTAAAAAAAATAAAATAAACGATACAAGATTCGTCTGACATGTCTAGTGGTGATTATGAAAGTCAGTTCCTGTGTTATTAAGCTAGGTCATAGACATGTAGCTCTAAACGATATAGTAAGTGATAAAACACGCTTTCGGCAATAGTTACATCGTATATTTAGATGTAATGAACTATGTTTAACTACGATTAATTCTTCTCTGTAATGATCTCAGGTCGCGTAAGTTTGCAGTAGATAGCAACTATGGGCTGAACGCATTCCCCTCCAATGAGTGGTGGGCTATCTGTATGGGAAAGCCTGGTCTCCAGGGGGTAAGGGAGTGAAGGAACTGAGTTCCGGTAAGGGAAAACTGAGCTTTGGGTTTGCAATTGACCTAGGAAGCTTAACCTAGTTTGCTGACTAGCAAAGGCCCTTCCATGTTAGGGATTGGCATGAGCCGGTAATGGGCAAAGAGTAGCCTGTCGTTCCAGCCTGACTAACATATAAACACATTGATAATTAGATGTGTAGCCAAATAATAATAGAAAACAGTAATGTCATTTAAAATTAAAAGCATATTGTCCACTATAACTAGATGCAGTGTCATATATTAACCTTGCCTTAGAGAGATACTGCTAGGTTTCCTAGTGAGGAGAGTGCTGCTTCTTCCAGGTACTGTTTACCCTATGCCTAACAATGGCATCCAGTCTGCCCTGGGTAACAGGATTGTAACTACGAGCCCCCCACCCTGAGTCCCATGGCAGTCCGTAGTGCCTAAATCCCGTGTCACGGCTCGATGTGCATGCTTGACTCGTTGTCGGGGCTGAGTGTGGAGCTTCACACGTGCCCGAGTATGTGCCTTCCGAGGTGCTTGTGGAGGTAAGTCCTTTTGTGGGTGTGAGTCGTGGGTATGTGGGTGACCCCTCCTGAGCAGTAGTGCTAATCGCTTCCGGCCTCCTACCGGGTCCGGTCCTCGAGAGTGGTGTTGCTGCGGAGGTTCCTGCTTTTGGCTCTCTCCCTGCCGTGTTGTGTCTGGGTCTCGCCTGTGTGATCGTGGCGTGGCTGTATCTCGTTGTGGGTCTGGGTTGGGCTTTGTCACCTGGAGAGGTGCCCTCGAGTGTCGTCGAGATCGGGCCATGGTATGCTGGGGGCTTCTCTGGGCTAGAGGGCGGCGGGCTGGCTTCAGTGTTGAGCAGGCCTTGCAGCTGGATGGAGGTACCTTAGCCTCCGTTGTCGTTAGGCTTTCGCGTTTTGCATGAGATGTTAGTCGGTGTGCCGGAGTTTCATGCGGAGCCAGAATGCCTGCCAGAACTTTTCAAAGGCAGTCTCCAAGGGCTAATTTTCTTGATTACCCCTTAGACCATGCGCCATCTTTGGTGACCATGTGGTTCCAGGGTCTTTACTCCATCTTGTTGACCCTGCTGAGGTGAGGTGGCACTCAGAGGGGACCGGAATATCCCCTGCCGGTCCAAGGGGGGAGGACAGGGCTGTGCAGACTCTTTTGGCCACCTGGAGTCCAGGGTCAGGAGACTATTCCCTAAAAGCTTAGGGAATAGTTGAGTGTAGTGAGGGTGCTCCCCTGGTTGCCCAGGGACGAGTTTCTCAGGTTTTGCCGCAGTTTTTTTTAGCTGTTTTAGTGTAGTTTAGCAGGAGCTAGTAGCAAACACGTCTGGCCATCTTCGCTGTCAGGCTCCGCCCCCCATCACTGAATACTTTATTAGTCTCTGTGTGTGAAATGTTCCGAAAATGCCGTATAACTGTTATCTCTGTGTCACTTTTGTGAACAAAAAATATATATATATATATATATATATATATATATATATATATATATATATATGTTTCTTCATTGTTTTTATGAATCTTAATATAATGCAGTCACATGGTAGTTCTGGAACTCTGAGGAGTTGCCTGTGCCCCAGATCTGTCTACAGATATTATACATTCTTTAAAATTCTACTTGATTTCATAGAGGTCAAGGATCTCCTATAGAATGACAAAATATAATTAATATTGGTTTCTTTGACTCTATAGCACTGGGTGATAGATAAAACAAGCAAAATAAATACAAAATGTTTTATGCTATAGACTGTAAGCTTGTTTGAGCAGGGTCCTCTTCAACCTATCGTTCCTGTAAGTTTTTTGTAATTGTCCTATTTATAGTTAAATCCCCCCTCTCATAATTTTGTAAAGTGCTACGTGATCTGTTGCCGCTATATACATGGCGATAATAATTATAATAATATTCATAAAGGATATATAATGTTTTATAAACAATTTTTATAAATTAGTTTATTAGTATAGAAAGTGATTTAAATGATTATATGTACACTGTTCCGCATACACATTAGTGGCCATGTATAAATATTATATATACATCACAATCCATGCTACGGTTGAATAAATTCTGTTTTTAAAACTGCGTCTATTGCTAAGGGTAACTGCAGAAATTCAGAGTGAAGTCTAAAAACAATGCATATCTAAGCTAATTTGCATGTCATGTTGGGAACTCTGGGATAGTTGTGGAAGCATAATATTCTGTGTCAAAGGAGGACTTGAGATACGCAGGTGATGCATATTGCACAACTGAACTTTTTCTATATATACACACAAACACACATACACAAACACACACACAAATGCAAACACAAACACACACACACACACAAACAGAGTCAAGAAGACCAAGTGATAAATGCCCTTCTATGAAACAGGGTACTTTCGGTACTTGTACATTTTTTTATTCAGATGTTAGCGTATATGATAGACATCATTCTCTTAAGAATACAGTGTTTTAATTCACTTTGATTTCCAAAAAATTCTCACTTAAGTAAATAACCCAGTAAAAGTTAAACTAGCAGAATTACATAAATATTTCAAATAGCAAATTATTACTTAAAAATGTAAAACGACAGGAAAAAATATTTGGCATAAAATAAAATATATGGCCAGGAACCCATTTGACATTAAGAACATTCTGATTTCATTTTTCTTTGCTCACATCCTCAACCATCACTCTTACATACATTGCAACCTTTTAAATGTCAGTTGCCCAAGCAAAGCCTTGTTCTTCTCAATTTCAAAGAATACATGATCAGATCTTAGCAACCGGATGACACAACAGAGATGCACATTTGTTAGAGCTATATAAAGCCACTGGAACACGTGAACTGTGAAATCTGGAGTTCTAGAATGTCGAACTTGGTAGAAGAATTGTTGTGGAAATTCGGTTACTGTTTAATAATCTTTTTTATCTCCCTCCAGCACACCTTACGTTCTAGGATTTCTGCACTGTCAGTTTGCATGAGGATCACCGCAGCTCTGCCAGGTTTCTTGCCTCTACGTTAGGTATTATCTGCAGAACTAACAAATAATACAAAAAATTAGCATTTCATCTCTTCTGTTATTGTATCTACTCCCAGCCATTAATTTTCTTGAAACGGTATGCTAGTTCAATACTATGTGGTTAACGATAATTTTATGCCATTAATATATTGCTATTGGATTTTTTGTGTTTTTTAGGTAGCAGGTCACTGCTTTGTTATATTTTTTATGCCATAGCCATATGATCTATAACCACTATACATAATGGGTGTGACAGAATAATATTACAAATTTAATGAAAACCAGGATCGAAGTAATTCTTCTAGACTCTTTTTTTTCCCATACATAATATATATGTTTTTAGCTATTGCAAAAAATATGTTTTTAGCTATTTAAAAATATGAATGTTAGCATAAGATAAATTAAAGTGGCAGTCTACACAATATGGCAAAAACAAAGCAAACTTTGTATCCCAAAATCATGTACGCACAGAATTCTTGAGCACATCCAACCGTTCCACCATCCATCCAAACAAACAAAAAAAGACAAAAGGACTTGATAGCTTAAATATGATAACAAAAAAGTGTGTCTGTGTCTGTATGTGTGTGTCTGCAGAGTGCTGGAGTGTGCTTGCTTATACCCCAGAAAATCAAAATGACGTAAAACAAATGTAAAGCTACCATTAAAATACTCTTTTTCCTCTAAAATACATGTTAGAAAGTTTGGATTTTTTAAAACTATTTTTGCTATTGCAATTTTTACTCTTTTTAATAGTTGCGATAGGTTTTATTTTTTATGTTACTAGTCTTTTTCCATGTTTTCATGAGCACAATATAAATATTTCAAGGTCATTGAAGTGTACTATTTTTTTAAAGAAACACAAACAATTACTATTTATTAGATGTGCTAGGTAAGTTCTTCTACTGAGTTATAGGCTGTATTGTGGGATTATAGAAACATAGAAACATAGAATGTGACGGCAGATAAGAACCATTCGGCCCATCTAGTCTGCCCAATTTTCTAAATACTTTCATTAGTCCCTGGCGTTATCTTATAGTTAGGATAGCCTTATGCCTTTCCCACGCATGCTTAAACTCCTTTACTGTGTTAACCTCTACTAATATTTCCTGATATTTTTTTTAAACCTTTGTCCCTCTAATTTAAGACTGTGTCCTCTTGTTGTGGTAGTTTTTCTTCTTTTAAATATAGTCTCCTCCTTTACTGTGTTGATTCCCTTTATATATTTAAATGTTTCTATCATATCCCCCCTGTCTCGTCTTTCCTCCAAGCTATACATGTTAAAATCCTTTAACCTTTCCTGGTAAGTTTTATCCCGCAATCCATGAACCAGTTTAGTAGCCCTTCTCTGAACCCTCTCTAAGGTATCAATATCCTTCTGAAGATACGGTCTCCAGTACTGTGTACAATACTCCAAGTGAGGTCTCACCAGTGTTCTGTACAATGGCATGAGCACTTCCCTCTTTCTACTGCTAATACCTCTCCCTATACAACCAAGCATTCTGCTAGCATTTCCTGCTGCTCTATTACATTGTCTGCCTACCTTTAAGTCATCAGTCATTATGTGAGCTGCAAACAGGTCTGTGACCATTAGTGTGTTAAGTGCAGAGACTACGGTCCCATCTGCACAGTTGTGGGGCTTACTGTCTCCCCCTGGTACGTTAAGCTGCCACTGGGGAGAGGGGGTAACAAGCTCCTCTCCCATATATACTCTCAGCCACTGGGGAGGGAGACCGACTGTCTCCGCTCCTAATACAGTGTCCTGCTGCTGGGGAAAGGAGACTGGGCTCTCTATTCCCTGCTGGACATTCTGCCGCTGGGGAAAGGAGACTGGGCTCTCTATTCCCTGCTGTATCTGCCACTGGGGAGGGAGGACAAGGCTCTCTGCTCCCAATAAAACACTCTGCTGCTGGGGGACAGGACTGACTGTCTCTGCTCCCTGTAACTCAGCCTGCTGCTGGGGAAAGGAGAAGCTGCTCTCTATTCCCTGCAAATCAAGCTGCCACTGGGGATCTGGGCCAACCGCCCAGCTTCCCTGTAGCTCACCCTGCCATTGGGGAGGAAGGATGCTGCTCTCCTCTCCCTGTGGGGCCAGTGGAGAGACCTCGGTCCCATCTGTATGGCCAGCTGGAGGTCCTCCTAGTCATCCTTGATGATATCCTCCCAGCTAAAAGGCTCTGGACCTGGGTCTGCCACGATGCTCTCCTGCTGGGTATCCTCGATGGAGCAGAACAGGTTTTTGTAATCTTGCTCCAGTTCCCACTCCAGGGTTGCGAGGTGTACCAAGTCTGGTCCCACTTTGCGGGGGTCATCCCAGTCTTGCATACCCTCCCTCCAGTCAAAGATATCATGGAACCGGATCTCTGCAGGGCTCCCAAAGTCAGGTTCTGTGAACGCCTCCCACAGCAAGCCAGGGCCATTAAACTCTATTCCCTCCGGGTTATCATGCTCCACTGTCCAGGGTGTATACCGAACTGTATACCACCAGAGTAGGCATCCTCTAGCCATAGCTCCTGCCATACCCAGTGCTTGAGCTACTTTACCTATTGCTCCAGGGGCTGCTCTCCCAGGAAGGGCATCCGCAGTGCCAGTCACATCTGCTGTTGCTGCTCCTCGCTGGGGAGTCCCTCGCCCCACTGTATGTTATCCAGTGCCTGGTACCAGATGCCTTTCCTTATTGCATCCTGGTTCATCCTCATTTCGAACTGCTGTTTGGGTCCAGCCTGATTCCATCATACTGCTGTCAGGGTTGCTGTACTTAGACATGCGTTGCCCTCAATTTGTAAATCCAGAAAA